CACAGCCCTAGCTACTAAATCACTTCTATTCTCAAATGCTTGGCTTGCCCACCTGTACAAGAAAGGCTTTGGACTAAACCAATCCATCTGAGAAATACTGGAGTGCCCACTATGCGAAAGCCACTGTGCCAGGTGGGCACTATGCAGAGTAGAAATGGTTCCAGAGAATAAGGACAAATTATGCCAGTGCTTCCTACTGCAAACATTGTTAGAACCATGGTGACCCCAGCATGCTGTGGCTCCCTGTGGAGAAGCTCTAGCTAGACATCTGCCAAGTGCACCATGCCTCCTTCAGAGCTTGAAGCACTGCAGGACTCATGGAGGGGGTCTGTGAATGACACAATTCCCTGCAACCAGAGTCTAGTGGTCTCCCTTGAAGGTCGCCATCACAGTGCCCACTCGAGAGTAGATCACTTGGGTCCACTGCCCAGTGACTCTGAAGGAGGGGAGGCCAGAGGGGTGGGGCAGAGAGAAGGCGGCAGGCACAGCAAAAGGCAATATTGACAGGAATTAGGAGGGCTTCACTTGCCTGAGATTTGAAGCTACACGAAATGCAGACGCTGTCATCCATATGGCCCTGGGCTCCTTGGAGGCTTGGAGGAACAAAGCTGGGCCAAGGATCAACTGCCACATGTGGCTAAAGCTATGGAAAAGGGATTCTTCTGTTTGACAGCTGAGCAAATAAGAACCAGGGTCTGTCCTCAAGGGGCTCCCTGCCCAGTGGACTTACAGCAAATGATTTTTTAAGAATACCAGTAGTAAAGCAGGAGGAAATGGAATTCGTTCCTCTCTGGTGTCCCCCAAGTTGGAAAATGGCTGTAGCACAAACTAACTTATTACAAATTCTTCCAAAATGATATTAAGCTGTATTTCCACCAAGGTAAGGCAGGGAAAACAAGCAAGTCAAGAATTCTAAAACTGGCATGCTAAAGCAACTTGACGAAGCCCAAACTGTGCACAAACATTAATTTCACTGAAGAGTTAAGAGACCAGGATTAAGAGAGGGAAAATCTAGGAACCCTCTAGAGAAATCTAAAATGATCATGTACAGTAAGTCCATGCCCTACAAATGTTCTTTTATTCTGGTAAAGAAAAAGAAAACTAAGCAGTGACCTGACCCGAAACTATCATAGGAAGAAAAGCAACATTAGCTCAAGACTGAGCAGCAAGAAAAATATGACTCCATTTGCCAGATAAAATAGGAAATCTCTGCAGCTGGCTTACCTCTGTGTCCATCACAAAGGGTCAGTCTACTCGTCACATGACTGAATTTCTCAACTTAAACCGAATCGCATTGTCCAACTTCAGCCATCTATTTTCTGATTTGTAAAATACTATTCCACAGAAAAGTGAATCACTTCATTACTTCTTAATGTAACATAAGTTAGTTACATGTATATTAATTTAAAACAATTTCCTAATAAAAAGGAAACATAAAGAAGGTTCCAACTAAGATTTTTTTAATGCTGGAACAAACCAAGATTTAGTTTAAAATATATTTATAATAATTACAAATGATTACATGATTTTTTTTAAAAAGGTCATATCTGCAACAGAAGAGAAATAATTTGCCTAAATCTGATCCTTTACTTCTAAAGGCTTAGGAATTGGTAAATCACTTAACTTGCAGATGCACCACTGCAGCACGAGGTACTCTGGGCACAGGTGAATGAATGAAACTGAAAGGGTACATCTAAACACTTGGTGTAAGACACTTGCTCAGGACGGTGAGTGACTACACACCTCAGCAACAGGGCTAGGAATTCAGGGTTTTATTCCCACGCTGATGGTCTCTTATAGAACATATGCCTCAGTCTTTTCAAATGTGATTTAGAATGTTAACTGTCACGAAGGAATCACAGACTTCTTCTGGAAGATAAATATCTATAAAATGCACCATGGTCTTCAATAAATATATTACAAAATATGTTTGGAACACTATTTACCAACAGCATACAGGAAAAGTCATGAGATCCAGCAGCACCATATGGCCAAGTGCCAAAGGTTCTGATTATCTAAGATTTAAGAGATCCAATAGGTAATGACAGAATAGCTGAGGATAGAATAACAAAAAATCATCTTTGTATCTGAGGAGTGTACATCAACTTTGGCCTAAATCTTAGTATCTGGCAGTGGATGTTTAAAATCTTTATTGGTATTTAAGCTAATAAAAGTTCTAACATCAATATTTGTTAAGCATCACTCTTCTGCTTAAGCGAACATAGAGTTACATTAAATTACATAAATATACCTTCCATAATCCTGGGGGCTAAGAACAAAAAAAAAAGAAAAATATTACATAAATACAGGCCGACGATACAGATCCATTCCAACTACATGGGATGTGGAAATACTTTTTTGTCAAGTAGATAATCTGTTTTATCAATCGCTAGTAAACCATTTTTGCAAACTGTCTTTCAGCTGAGAAAACAATATGCTACTTACATCATATTGGAAAAAGAATGACTCCAAGATTTCCAAGCAACACAGCTATTTTTCAAATCTGAACTCCCCTGCTGATCATTAGAAATAGTTTCAAATGTCCTATTCTTGGCCTTCATTTGTGCCAAACCCTGGACAAGTCTGCAACAAGGTCATAATTCCAAAACATCCACTTTCTGCATGGGGTGCTAAATAGCCTGTCCACCCTTTCTCTTAGCACGCCATCATTCACTTTAGTTTGAGGTCTCCCCTGAAGCAAGCTGTGCTTATGTTATACAGAGGAAGTGTGGAATCAAAGCTATTTTGCTTCTATCTGCTGCAGGCTAATCAACTACCTCAAATTCATTACTTCCACTGCACTTACTGTACTGTGTTTAGAAACGCCATGGTGCAAACCCTGTCTTCAGTCAAGGTGCAGGTAGGTGGTGAACATGGCCCAAGAAGGTTCAGTGCTGGATCGACACACACAAGATTGTAATAGTCGTTTGTTGGTTGGTATTTGCAGGATGTATTTTTTAAAACAAACCAAAAAAAGAGGGTAAGAACTCACTTATCAGATGACAATCTAAAGTCGGGCTGTTTTCTGTATCACATTCTTACCTAATTCCCAGTGACTCTAAATGCTGATAAACGAAGGACAGATTTTTGTCTCCTTTTACCAAAGAGCTGAAAATATTAAAAAGTTAAGGCAGACTAGAAATAAAACACAATTCCAATATGTTTTAAACCAGATTTAAATTTTTTTTTGTTTAATTCAAATTGACCCAAAGCAAAACTTACATTACAAAGGAAGAACAAAATACGTTATGATATAACACACTAGGAGTTACATGAAAGCTAAATTTGTGGGCAAATGGCCTTATCCCAATCACATTCTGGGCTAATGAGTAATTCTGCAGGAAAGTTAGAATCTCAATTTCTTATGGTCCACTCTGGTAATGAAACTACACATTCTTGTCTCGTAGGGTGTGCATCTGACAAATCGTGCTAGACTCCCTCAATGCTCCAGATGTGTACTCGTGCTCCTGCCAAAACACTGAATTCTCTAGCGGAAATGCTGTTCCAAGCATGACTGATAATGAATTAAAAAAAAACAAACAAAAAACAGTCAAGTCCTCCAAACTAACAAGCATGGATTATTCTGTAGTAAATAGTTCAGAAATATGGGAATTAAATAATCTAAAAAACACTCTTACTCTGCTGTACATTTATAAACACAAATATTTACAAAAAACTTGTTTGGAAAATATGAGGTTTGCAGTTTATTAATGTTCATAATCTTTTATAAGCTGGTTTCTTTGGTGTATTTGCCACATATATTTTTATAAAGGTTTAGTAATAGGCTTAAATAATAAATTTCAAAGAAACATAGGAGAATCAGTGACAAATTTGACAATATTCTGAACGTTTTAGCCAAGATTCTGGAAAAACTTGTTAGTTGACTATCTGAAAATACCTGTTCTCTCTACTCATTATGTGACCACAGAATGCTTCTCTGCCGATCAAGTTCAAATGAGGACTTGAATGTTCACCACTATATTCCACCAGTTACCAACTTGAGACATTTTAGTTATTGTTAAGTATGAAATGTGATTGGGATTTGATTAACAACAAAAATAAAACATTCTTTTTAAGCTTCCAGGTAAATCAAACCTCAAACAATAAATAATGGAATTATACACTTCTTCATTAAATAGAAATTTCAGTTCCAGGAAGAGCTCTCATAATTTTTTTCTGAAGTCACAGCAGCAATACAGAACAAAGAATTTACCTTAATCTGATCTTTTTAGTTGGAATTCCCTGACTCAAACTTAGTGGCTAACTTAGTTTGGATATCTTTGAATGGTTGGGGAGAGAAAATCATTTTAAACTAACTGAATAAATTAATACACACAAATATGGAAATAAGCCCTGTGCAAATGTAACATTAAACATCATTGTTCAGAATGCAGGACCCCCACGCACCCTCCAGCCTCCTTACCTCCCTGGGTCTGGGGTTTTAGGGAGAAGTAACACTCATTATATTTCTGGTCACACCATGTCCCTAACTCTGTTGTTAATGTGTCTTAGCCCTGACCTTGGTATTGGTTTAAAGAATGAGAGCACAGCTCAACAACTATCTTCACAAGGGACTTTCTCTCTGGAAATAACATTTGGAGATATTTTATGGGAAAAGGACAGACCTTCCCTTGCTATCCATTAGGCTCCAGCTACAGTTTGGGGATGGTTACAAAACTGGCTACACTCTGACTCGCTGCCTGCAAAACAAGTCTATGGACCACTTCAGCCATCCCCCAAATAATCCTTTTTCCCAAAGCTGCCTGATCTTCGGAAACCTGGGCACTTCGGAAACCTAGGCACAAGCAGATCAGATACTCTGATGCCACAGCTACTCTGCATCCAAGAGAACAAACTCTGTGCTTGAGAAAGCAGTACTGCTGGCTCTGAAGAACGTAAAGCCAGAGCAGACTCCTGATTCTGTTTAGTTATCCTTCCAGGTGAAATAGTTTTATGCTTTATGACTTAAATCTAGAAATTCAGACAAGAGAAGCCCTTCATCTTGTAAACTTCTGATAACAAATTTATTAATAGTATGTAAATATTTTGAAGTTTCCCAAAGCACTAAGAAACATACTGGGACATTTGAAAAGGTTCTTCTGAGACTAATATGACCACAAATCCAGCACAGAATACATTCCTGAGGGCTTCACCATAGATGCCTAATGTCTCTGGAATCTTTCCCATTGTTATTGACACTTTATCATATCCATGTTTATACTGCAAAACGCATGCCCAATCAACCCAGAAAATAAAATAACTCTCCTGAAGAGCTTCACTGTGTATAACCTTAAAATAGATAGGAAATATCTATATTAGGAATTAGCATATTAGGAATTAACCAGACTTACAAATGTGCACCCATCAGAGATTTTTACCCTTTATTTTTTTTTTAACTAGGAAGAAAAAAAAAAACTACCATGAAATCACCCCAAATTATTTAACCATTAATGCCAAATGGTTTAACAACATTTCAGGCTATTTTTTGGTAATATTTTACCACCAGAATAAGAAATTTTCTGCTTAAAGTGAAGTAAAACACAAAGCTTAAAACGGAAATTGCAACTGACATACTACGACTCTGCAATGAAAATTAAAGTGGCGGCTCCTGTTCTCACGGGCATGTCAAAGCCAGCTGTGGAATGATGAACAGCAAGTGAAAAAATGGATAAAATACACCAGAAAGAATATTGCACGGGAGGCACTGTTTTAAAAACAGAATACACTGGCTTTATAAAGTTATTTTCTTTCCCATTAATTTTTTTGAAAGCACAATTCAACTACAGACAAAAGTTGAGACACAATGTCTCAGGGTAGTGTACTACAGTTGTTAAAAAAATAAGTTAAAAACAAGAGCACACCAAAAGGAAAGCAGAGGTACTGAATTTATGTCATCCAAAAGCTACATTAATTAGGAAAAAGAACAGTTCAAAACAGCCAATTTGTACTCATTAAAAATGAATGAGGTGACAGCATTACTTCAAAAATTTCTTAGGGCATTTTCCAGTATAACCCAGGACGCCCCTGGGTGAAACTGTGCCTCCAAACTTTAACAAGTGCTCTGCTGGTTTATAATACCGTGCTCACCAATGAAACCATACATTTGGAAAGGGTAAATTCTCCACTCCAAACCTGCTTGTGTCATTTTAGAAAAACAATATTTCTAAATGCAATATTGTATAGAAAGCTTGGACCTCTTAAACTTGGACCAAGAAACCAAATTAAGACCTTCAAGCATGTGGTGTGTGTGTTCATATATATAAAAAAATCCCTCCCCTACAATGAAAACCAAACAAACAAACAAAAACCTAAAAGTGTATACCTGCTTTCTGACTTCACAGCAAATCAGAAATTGCATAGGATATACTTTGTGCAAGGCAAAAAGCCTTTTAAGTATCTGGAATATAACTTCTAATCTCGCTCACAGTTCTGGTATCTCAGATATCATCAAATTTGTGTTTTAAGTAGTCTTTCATGACCTTGGCAATTGGGAGCTCATCAAGTAGCTTTAGGTTTTGAAGGCCTATACATTGTCGAATTTTAATTCGGCACAGGTCCTGCAAGTTTCTGGGCTGTCCTACAAAGACAGAAAAGAAGAAAATGTCACAAAGCTACAACATACAACAATTAAGGCAGGCATTTAGGTTTTAAAAAAAGAATTGTTCATTTCACTGGAAAGCTTTCTCTATGGACTTTACATGCAAAAGACTGGAAAGACATCAACAAAAATGAAGTGTCCTGGATACCTTCGTATGATGTCTCATTTGATACTTTTCACAACCCCAGGATGGAAGATAATTTCACCTTCCTTTTACAAATAAGGATACTTAGTATCAGAGATTAAAGGAAATTGCTCAACATCAGATCATCAATAAAGGTTTTATTTAGACTGAAACTAGAACAATTTCTTCTGATTCTGAGCCCGGTATTCTTTCCATTAGAAATCAGGAGAATTCCAGTTTTCATCTTGATTAGGCCTCTGGGTGAGTTTATGTGAGCAAATCACTTCTCTGGCCTGTTTTTCCATCTGAAAAGTGTGGGGACTGAAGGAGATGCTCTCTGCTGTGAGGCCTCCTTTTAGCACTGGGGCTAGAAGCCTCCATGCCTATGCCAGTCCTGTGGAGCTTTCCAAACAACATCTGTCCACCTGTTCACCATGATTCTGAACACGGCAGAACCTTAGTGGTGAGGATGAGCAGCAGGGAGGGGTGTGAAAAAGCACCTCAAGCTATCCTGAATCTCTGCCGCTTCCAGCCTCACATCCTGACCACCTGCTAATAAAAACCCCTGCTATAACCCAACTCAAAAGAAAAACCACAAAATCCAACGTCTTCCACTTTCAAACACTGTTTTACCAAAACAATACAGATGGCCATGAACACAAGCTGAAATTCCTCAACAGTGCTTCAGTAGCATTTGGAGTCACAAAAATTCTGCTTTCACATTAAACAGTAATAATAATAAAAGCTCACGTATGTTGAATACTTCCTCTGTACCATGTATAAGCTCTTAACATATATTAACTCCTTTAATCCTTTTATGAGGGAAGTACTTTGATCATCATCCCAATTTTATAGAGCATCGCAGAGAGATGAAGTAACAGGCCTTAAGTCAGGTAGAATGCCACATTTCAGTTGCTCTCAAAGCTTGGGTCCAAAACACCTTTACACTTTTATTTATTTATTTATTTTTTCCTTTTTTTTGTCTTTTTTTTTTTTTCGTGACCGGCAACGGATCGCAACCCTCAGTGTCGCACCCGTACCGGACCGGGACTGGCAATGGGATCGCAACCCTCGGTGTTGCCCCCGCACCTCGCTCAGCCAGTGAGCGGCCGGTCTGTATGTGGGATCCGAACCCTCGGCAGGAGCGCCAGCGCGCTCCCAAGCGACGCACTGTAGCAGTGCGCCACCAGGCCGGCCCCACCTTTACACTTTTAAACATTATAAAGAACTTGAAAAAAGTTTTATGTGGGCTATAACTATGGATAATTACCATATCAGAAGTTAAAACAGAAACTTAAGAAATATTAATTCATTTAAAAATAATAATAAACCCATTACATGTTAACATAAATAATAAATTGTTATAAAAAATAACCATATTTCCTCCCCCCCCAAAAAAATTAGTGAGGAGCATGGTATTATTTTACATTTTTGCAAAGTTTTTCAATGTCTGGCTTAAGAGATGATAGTTGAATTTTCATATACACTTCTGCACTCAACCTGTTGAAATAAAATCACATCATCTAGTCTCTGGAAAACTCCACTTACACTCATGAGAGAAGGAGTGTGAAAAAGACAAATAATATCTAAGCATAATTAAGAAAATCATTCTAACCTCACAGATACCCCAAAAGAGTCTTTCGGGAGAACCACAGCTGTACTTAGTTCTTTATCCCTTACATGAATTGTACTTGTTTATAGTGATCTCCATTATTCAGAATTAAGTAATCCTTTATAAATGAAAAAGGCTCCCTAAGACTCACACCCCTGCTCTGTGAGGCCTGTATGAGCATGTACTTTCCACAAGAGTTACTGAACACGCGGTTTCTGACAGAACCGCAGAAGTAACTGCTCTCTCGGAAATGTCTGTAAACAAGGGTATGTGTATCCACAGATGTCTGCACAAGAATCCATGCCTGGATGTGCCTCACACACTCATATGTCTCTTGGCAGGACTGTGGCTCCTCCATCTTCCAGATCTCTGCTAATCTTAGAACTTCACCAGAGGAGACTAGGTCAGCTTCCCCATCAGACACTCTCAGAGCTCCTTTCCTTTGGAACATTGAGCAAGGTTGTGATTTTACATTTATTTGGTGATTATGTATTAATATTAATGCCCATCTTCCTCACTGTATGACATGTTCCATGAGGGCAGGACCATGTCTGGCTTCATTTGCCAATGCAAACCCAACACCTGACAGAGTACTCAACAAATACTAGATAAACGAATGAATACTTAATAGGTTAGTCCTTAAAGGATAAAAGTCAACTCATTGCAAAACATACCCACATCAGCAGCAAATCATTTCCTAATCTGTTTTGAATTATTTTTCATCACCATTCATGCGCTACCTTTAGAAAGGGAATAAATTATTACTGCCATTTTGCAATAAATGCTTATAGTATTTTATCTGCAAATGTAAACCAGAGTATAGATTAGATGTGAACCTTCTTTTTTCAAAGTAAAGAATTTGATTTTTCTAATAGATGGCAGGTTCTTTTCAAGTGTAGTTTTAATAAAAAGAACTACAATGTATTCAGGCAAAAAACAGATGAGGATAAAGTTGAAATATACATGTGAAGCATACATGCACACTTCAATGAAAACATATCCAACAAAGTGGTAAAAACTAAATTATTGGAATTTGCTTAGCTAAGATAAAAAAGAAGGGATTGAGACAAAGGTTACGTAACAGGGGATCTTCTGATACAGTCTTGTTTTGTGGCAGCTGTACTCTCCAAAGATGACCACAATACCTCCTATTCCTCATGCTCTTTTTTTGCAATGTGACTGAACACTCCTTCCATTAAGAGATGAGGTCTATGTTCTCTCTCCTTGAAATTGCATGGGCTTGTGACTATGGTGAAGTAGCGCTATGTGACTTCCAAGGCAAAGTCATAAGAGATGACACAACTTTCACCTGGGTGGGACAGTCACTCTTGGAACTTAGCCACCATGCCACAAAGAGGCCTCAGCAGCCTATTAAAAGGAACTGAGGTCACTGGCTGACAGTCCTAGCTGAGCTCTCAGCCAACCACCAGCACCAACTCACCAGCCATCTGGGTGAGCCACTGTGAAAGTGGAGAAGCTCCAGAAAACAATGCGTGGAGAAGAGAAATGAAACAATTGGCTACTGTTGTTTTAAGTCACTACATTTTGCCGCATTAGATAACTGAGTGAGATTCTGGGACCTGGAAGTGAGGTGCTGCCATAAAAAAAATCTAAAATATGTGGCTTCCCATTGGGATCAGGTAGTTGGAAGGGCTTTGAGGTGAGTGTTATATGGAAGCCTAGGGAGCTTTGAGGGGGCTGTTGGTCAGGGCTTCAAGGAGAGTTTTAAAAATATTACTAGAAAAAAGAAATATTAGAAGCTAGAGGAAAGGGGAGCCTTGTATGAACTAGTGGAAAGTCTGGGAACACTGGCACTTGCAGTTATGAGGAAAATAGGAAATGTCCTAATCTAGTTCAGAAGATTACCCAGGCAAAATACTGAAGTGTCACTGGTTTCTCACTGTCATGACAAAATGCAGGAGGCAAAGATAAACTCACAACTTTAATTCAAGGGAAGCAGCAACAGAAATACTACCATCCTCATGAACCTTTCCCAGGGAAAAATGTGTATTCTAGGCCTAAACACATATCGGAACGCTTTACTCAATCTGCTACTGATTTTTGTTCCCCTTAAACAGTGTGTCTTGGTAGTCCTTTAATATTTTAGGAGGATCTGATCTTTTAAAGATTTCTTGACGATATGTAACTCCTGTCTGCAGAATTACTTTTAATGACAGAGGCGTATCATAGTGGTTAAGAGCATTAAGTCTAGAACCAGACTGCCTGGGTTTGGCTCTTAGCCCTGCCACAGACAATCTGTGTGATCTCAGGCAAGCCACTTAACCCTCCACTTGTTTTTTCATAATAATAACACCCACCTCAAAGGCTTTATAAC